TCAGTTTGGACTTCTTAATTAATTTCAACCATTTATATGGAACCATTTAATTTTAAAAAAAAAAAGTCTTGTAAATTTGCACCACGTACCAATGAGTATTCTGCTCAAATGCACCATGATCCCCTTCTGGACACACAATAGAGCTGGCCTTGCCTATTTGACTTCGTATTGCTAAATAAGAGCTTTGGACATAAAATATTATCATTTTATTTCTTATTTTGTCTTGTTGAATAAATATTATTTTTTGTTCAAAAAAAAAAAAAAGAGTTAAATTTATGAATTTTTTTTGTTATTTCCTTTAAAAGAATTAAAAAAGTGAATTGCAAATATCGGCTCCCTTTTTTGAAATTCTAAAACTAGCTTCTAGGCATTAACTCACATTATAAACTCAGGAAAGTTTTCAAATTTTAAATTATATATATATATATATATATATATATATATATATTAAGAAAACTCACATTATAAAGTCAGGAAAATTTTCAAAATTTAAATTATATATATATATATATAAAGAAAACTCAACTTTTTTCATCGACTTTCGCAAAATTAGAAAATGAATGGGGTGACTCTAATTAATTATTACATATTTGAAAAACAGAAATCCAATTGATATTCTTAAAATTCTTTTGATTGTTTAATAGTATTCTCAATTAGTCTAGCAAATTTTCGGCATGAAAAGCATCTTCATTGACTTCTAATATCGACTGATACTGCATCACTCATTACTGCTTAGTTGAATCTAACCAAACATCACCTTGAACATTCAAAACTGACATCAATTTTATTCAAGCCTATATCTCTTAATTTCAAATTCACTTATTTATCTAAATTAACTATTACATTCTAACAAGTCTAATTTAGTGGGGTACTTTAGTTTGACCTTGTGTGATTTTTCCCACATTAATGAAAATAAAATGAGATGTAATGAATTTTGCAGGTGAGGTTCCCAGGTTTGGAGGAACTGGAAATTAGAGAATTGAAAAGACTCACAAGGATATGGGACAAACAATTATTCCTAGGTTCGGAAGCACAAGAATCCTTTCGGCAGCTAAGATTTGTCACCGTTCATGAATGCGATAAACTAGTGAATGTAATTCCACCCAATGCATTCCCAATGTTACAGAACCTTGAAAGTCTCGAAGTAGTATCATGTGATTCAATGGTATTTGGAGCAGAAGTGACTGCTATTGAAGAAGGCAGTGTGATTCAATGGTTTCCTCAATTAAAGAAATTGAAGCTTAAAAAATTGCAAAACCTCAAAAGTTTCTGCTACAGTAATATTGGTGGATCCAAAGAAGAAGAAGAAGAAGAAGAAGGTGGTGGTAAGACCTTGGTGTTCCCTCAATTAAACACTATAAGACTTGAAGAGCTGCCAAAGCTCAGCGGTATCTGCTGCTCAAGAAGAGGTGAAGAAGAAAGTGTACTGAAGGAGAGTAATATTCCCCAACAACAAGCTGATCTCTTCAACTACAAGGTACACACACACCTGTTTCCTTAATTAATGATTTGGTGCACTCAAAACAACTGAAAATTTTAAAATGGATTTCAATTAGATTTGCACTTAACCTTGTGTTTTGGTGGCTTTGTGTTATTTCATTAACTGAAATTATTAATGGATTTTGGCACATCAATTACATCCATCTATTTATATAGCAGAGCCTCAAAAGTCAAAAGCAGAGTCTCAAATGAATTCCACTGGCTAATATGCAGTTACATATATGGTTTGAGAATAATTTTATTTACCTGTAGAACATGAAATGGAATTACAACTGAAAACTAGAATGTGCATAACAAAGGGGTAGTCATTATTGCTTGGTTTGATTTAAATTTATTTTTATGAATATATATACATGCTCTACATAGTGATTGATTTCTGCGAGCAGGTTGAATTTCCTATCTTGTTGGAGGAATTGGTACTAGGTAATGAAAGCATCATTGGAGGTTTTCAGAAAAAATTGTACAAAGTAAGATCCATGAAGGTGACGAAATACAACAACTTAGTGAATGCTTGTACCCTGCTACAGTGGTTTGAGGTTGTTGAAGAACTCGGTCTGGAATCTTGTGACTCATTGGAGGTTATCTTCAACCTTGAAGGACTTGGTGCCATTGAAAGAAAGGCAATTGTGTCTTCTCAAGCAAAAGAATTGACACTCAGGGATTTACCTAAATTGGAATCGCAGGGGCTTTTGGTGTTTCACAACCTAACGTCTTTGTATGTTAGTACATGCAACAGGCTGAGGTATGTATTCTCCCTCTCAATAGCAAGAGGTCTCACACAACTCAGAGAGCTAGGGATTAGGGAATGTAGTGTGATGGAAGAAATAGTTAGAAGTGAAGGACAAGGAGAAGAAGATGACATGGATGAAATTGTGTTCTCTCAACTTAAGGAACTGTTTTTGTGGGAGCTACCAAACCTGACATGTTTTTGTGGGACAAATAATGCTTTTAATTTCCCATCCTTGAAGGAGGTTAGGGTGATGTTATGTCCCAAATTGCAGACCTTCACATCTGGAGGCATAACCACATCTGGAGGCATAACCTTAAGAATTGATTTTGAGGACCAACACGATGTGAGCGACCTTAATAGCCATGTGCAGCGGTGGTGGGTTGGGAAAGGAAAGGTAAGAATGAAATTTTAGTGAAAAAATGATTCTGCCAATGCTTTTCATATAACACATCTACTTCTGTTTGATTCAGGAATCAGAAGAGGATGATGATGATGAAGATGATGAAGAAGATGATGAAGATGATGATGATGATGATGATGAATAGCCATGATCAGCGGAGGATAATAGCCATGTGCAGAGGTGGTTGGTTGGGAAAGGAAAGGTACGATGAAATTTTAGTAAAAGATGTTTTTCCAGCATAGTAGTGGTCAAATGTTGACTAGTGAAAAAAGGATTGTGCCAATGCTTTTCATATAACCAGTCTACTTATGTTTGATTCTCAGGAACAAGCGGAGGATAATTAGAAACAACAAGTCTTGATGATGATGTGAAGGCCAAAAAGTGTGCATTGAGTGCATCAGACTTTGTATTTATATTTGTGTGGCGTGTTTGGTGAGTAAAGTTGTGTCAGTGTGATTGATAAAACATAATAAATAAATAATAATAATAATAAACTTAAAAGGTGCATTTTTATTAATTCATTGTTTGATGCAATTGATGTTGTATTTGATCCTAGTAAGAAACCGTACAATTATTTTGTATGTATTATCAGATACTGTACTATTTAACATTACAATTGATGTTGTATTTTGTTGTCTTGATTTACTTTATTCTCTATTTCTTTAAAAATCCTGCATCATAGTTAGGCATGTGGGCCCATTGTAAGTTTTTGAAATAATTTTTATTTTTCAGAAAATTGAAAATAAAAAACTTCAAAAAAATAAAAAAAAACTTGTTTGGTTGTCATTTTTCTGTAAATTTAGTTATAAAAATTCAGTCATAAAAAAAGTTTATTTTCAAATTTTTATAATTATATGCATAAACATCCCTAACTTTTGAATTTTTGTAGCAAATTGTCCATGATTGTCAATTTTGATATTTTTTATAAAACCCAAAATACCCTCAATAAATATGTAAATTAATATATATATATATATATATATATATATATATATATATATATATATATTAATTTTGCTTTATGGGAATTTTAGGAATTTTAATCTTCAAATTGAGAAAATGTCCTTATTTGTCCAATTTGAAAAATGTAAAGTTTTTTTAACATGACTAAAATTTTGCACATTTTGTATATAGTAGGGTTCTTTTTCTTTTCTTTTTTTTTTTTGGCTCTTTATCTTTTTTATTCTATCAAAGACCTTTAAATAGTAAGAAGAGACAATTAAGTGGAAACTTAAGACAAATTGGCGTCAAATTTTTTCTAAATTTTGAAAAGAAAAAAAAAATGAAATACAAATCTTCTAATTTTTGTTCTTTTTGTGTATAATTAATAGTAGCAGTGAAAAACGAGCTCAAGTAGTCAAGCTTATTTGAGTTTTAATTCATTTCTAAAATTTATATCCATTTGTCGAAACAATGGTGAAAAATCTATGCAAAAAAATGTTGAATAACAAAATAAAGTAGACTAGAGGTGAATGGAATTCAATCCTCAAATGGAATTATATCCATTTGTCTGATGTTTAATTATCTTATATTGGACTTCAATTCTTTTTTCTTTTTTTTGGCAAGTGTGTATTGGATTTAACTTGTCTTGAACTTTTTTAATTCTTAGTAGTTATTTATTTATTTATTTATCAATTAATGAGTTGTTTTTATATTATTATTTTATCAAATTTTATCTTTGAAGAAAATGAGAGGAATGGTGCTTCCAACATTTTGCAGTTTATTTTTCTCAATTAATATAGTTCCTTAATAAATGTAGTAGGACCAAAAGTAGTGTCTATAGTTGGTTGTTAAAAATAACATGTCATCCATTAATTTATTTATTACCACCACAAGCTATTTCCTGTCATACACCAAAAAACCAACAAGATTGCATTCAATTTCTTTTCATCCTCTCTAAATCTTAGGAAAAAAAAAAAAAACGCAACTGCCACATGCTTTTATTTTATCAATACATTGCTTTACTTTCCGAATAAAAAAATAAAATAAAAAAGAATGAAAAAAAGGGAGAGAAGAAAGAAAGAAACCCTAGAAATGGGGTTTTAGATATCAAACTGTCTCGGCCATGAAAACTGTTTTTCATCACTTCATAAAACAAGATGAAACAAGAAACAGTTGCTTCGATATTCATGACATCAAACGAGAAATGAACAGGAAAACATAGAAAAAGGAGAGGCAATAGAAATGTTTTGGGAGCTAAAAAGTCATGTGATTATGATATCATGGAAAATCTGTTCTCTACAAAAACCAGGATCAATATCATTATATTCTAGCCTAGTCTATACCAACAACATCCATTTCAAGCCCTATTTACAGTGCATCATTTCTATATCCAAGTCTTCCAGAAACCACCAAACAAGCAGCTAGTACTCAAACTCTCAAGCAAAAACTGCTTTTTTCTTCTTCTTGTTTGAATGAGGCCTCGGAACTTGTTCGCTTATCATGAGAAGGTAAAGTAAGGGAAAGATCGAGTGATACTGGGAATTCACCACCATCATTGTTTTTCTTGCTCGCCGCACAACTTGGAACCTTGTCTTGGTTATGCTTTTCTTCCACAATCCCAAGAAATGAAGGCCTGAGTCGCTGCGTTGTCAAATTTTTTCCAGCCCCTAATGAAAGTTGAAGATCTAAAAACTCAAACCCCAGCTGATCCTTGTAATCTGATGCCATAACTTGCGATTTTGAGGACATGACCTCTGACATGCCACCCACTGGACCTTGACTTGCTGAAACTCCTTGCTTTCTCTCAGTAACTTCATGTTCTTTCTGCAATTAGAACAAGTAGAAATTAGCACCGATTTTACAAAATCAGGGAAGAATATTTAAGCTTTGAAATTTTAGCATTGATAGATGATTATAATAGTGTGAGAATATACAAGCACCAATCCTAAGCCACCAACCAAATAGATTTTTTTTTTTTTTTTTTTTTAATCCAAGGCAACAACAGCCAATAGATTGGGCTAAGTCATTTTCTGCCATTCAACTTTATTACAACATGTACTGGCATACTTCACTAAATCATTGGCCAAAATGTCTCTTGCTATTAACATCGTTTATTCATTTCCCTTTTGTTTTTCAGTGAGTGCAGACACACAACTCAACACACACACCCCCATTACGCCCCAGTAGAGACCTGAACCCTCAATTCATTTTACAAACATTCTATGGAACACGTTTTCTGCTGCCAAGAATTCCATTCTGTTTAGCATAGTTACTTTTTAGCCATTTAGTAGATTTCAGTTTATTTTTTAAAATATTAAACATACCGTACATACCACAACAGCAGCGCTTCTCTACTGTCAATTTTGTTTCTGTTTTATGAAATTACATCTCTTCAGTACATGATGTTCCAAAAAAGTTGCTTAAAAAGAGAGAGATAGAGAGTATTATGGGCCCGACTCTTTTCACTATGCAAACACATTCCCACGGCATTCCACATAATTTAACACAAGAACTTTGAATTCTGAATCAATTACATAATTATAACGATTAATTAATCCCTGTACATTCGTCACCTAGACCTAGATTGTCAACAACAAACATACATATTTTCCGCATCCATGTTCATATTTAAAAATGTTAAAACTAATCAGAAAACCAAGAACATAAGAAAAACAACTTATTCCAACCCATAAGAACACCTCATAAGAAAAACAACTTATTCCAACCTGCCAAAAACATAACATACAACTGAGAAAATGCCAATGCATAAGCTTGCATGCGTTTGACAATCTTAAATAAAATCAAAGAGCATGAAGATTAGGCCTTACACTGGGAGTTTTCAGGAAGAACATTGGATGAAAATATTAAAAGTTCAATTCCATCAAATTTCCCTATAAGAGCTAAATCATAATTGATCATGCACTCCAACATGCTCTTATAATTTCTTCCATAGCTGCAAGAAAGGTATATGAAAAGGTTAAAAAATAAGTCTGAAAGGAAGATGGCACCTATAATGTGTATAATGTAAAGCAAATATGCCAAAAAATAAAAAATAAAAAACCTTTCCAGGTCTTCTTCGGGATGATTCCCGAGAAACTGATTTGGCCATGTACTCAAACGAGGTACTTCCTCCAAAAGGATTTTGTGAGGGAATTTCTTTACTTCTTCAGGAACTTTAGGCGATGAGCAAGTAGATAAGTGAGCCTGAATCCCATAACAGAAACTGGGAAGTCTTCCACTACTCTGAATTTCAAATACGCCTCTGCATGGCATGTCAGGAAAATGTGTATAAGACATTCTTAAAAACCACAGCAATTACCCAATCTTGACGAAACCGAATTTAACAAACTACAAAATAAGATAATAAGAGGAGTGGAGAAGGGCATACTTCCAAATATAATCAAGCTTTGGAACAGAAAAAATCCTAAATTCATCAGGTTGATTGCAAAACATGGGCCTAAGATCCGTCCTACTACTTCGGTCCACTTCCTTTGAAGTTCCTACATCAAGAATAGGAGCCCGAGTACTAATCATTGGGCAAGATTCTGCAGCGTGGCCCATATTCTTACATTTATGACAGCATACACTTCCACTTCCAGCTGAAACATGCTGCCCAGGCTTGCTGAAATCAGAGGTCTCCTTGACTTTCTCACCCCCACTGGAAGATTCCCGTGACTGAGGTGATATATCTTTTGCAATTGAATCAGAATTACCACAACGACAACCAAAACTCAATAAAGAACTAGATGCAAGATCATCCGTAAGGACAACTAGACTTGGCTTCATTTCCTGACAAGAGTCAGATATTGCATGAGAAGATGGATCCCCACTCGTACGCATCCGCTTTACCACACCAGATTTATCTATTAACCAAAAGAAAATTACTCAGTGTGGAACAGACAACCAATAAACTTTAAAAAAGAAAAAGAAAAGAAAAGGAACAGAAAGAGAGTAAAAATGATAGTTTATCAGGAAAAGAAAGGAACCCCTACCTAGATGATTGGGATTTTTGGAGCTTTTATGAACCCGATGCCTAGCTGGTTTGGATGAATTCTGTGAATTTCCATGACGTTGAACAGCCTTCAGATCATGATAAGTTCCAGAAGGATGTCGTAATAGTGTTTCAGCATGAGATTCAATTTTTCCATCATTTTTTAATGGACAGGAACTAGCCATCGTTGAACTACCTAGTGTATTATCTAATTTTCCTGTATGCTTCCTCTCAATCGAATTACATTCTTTTGCATGTCTTAATCTCTTGAAATCCTCAACATGAGAAGATTTTGAAGAGAGCATTTTGAAATTTAAATCAGCAGCATTTGAATGGCCAGAGCTGACATTATTAAATGACATAGATTTACTCATCATTCTGAAAGTGCCATCCTTTTTCTTCTCGGTAGCAGCAGTTTCTCTAGGGAACTTTTGCTTTTGAAGAGTATCTTTTTCTGACAGTTGGATTTTTCATTTTGAGGCTAAAATGGTGACCGAATTTGACCTTGTGAGAGTACATGTAAAACCAAATTTTGAACTCATAAATCCAAACGCAGGTGAAACATGGCATTCTCATTATAACATAATGTCTGCCTAATGATTGAGATAATTTATATTGAGCAAAAGCTATGCAAGAAAAAATTACCTCGTGACATTATGAACTGATTTAGTAAGCAAATGTGCCTTCCCCAATGTATTATTAGAACAGTGATCTTCAAGAGAAGATATCTTGTAGGTTGGTTTTGTTTACCCCCCATCCACGGCCTTGTACGAAGAATCCCGAGACAGTAAAGATTTTCTCAAGGGGCAAGACACCCTGGGTGATCCAGCACTTGTTTCAAGAGCCCTTCTTTTCACCACTGAGACAGATTCCGAATTGTCTGCAAGTCTCTTATCAGGGAATTGTTGAATCGAACTAACTTTGTTCCTCGACTCTCTTCTGCTTTTATCGACATTTGAATATTTGTCGTCTAATGACAAAGAAGTCTTGGTATTGGCAGTACAAGAATTCCGAACGTCTTGGCGTATTTCATTCAAGGCTGGACCTTTTGAAGATCCAACTAATTTTCCATATTTATTCTGCGTCTGTTTCTCAGTTCCCTCATACAGCATGCATTCTTCACACATCCAATTGCCTTCAGGAACCTTATCCAGCAGAACACGCATGCAGTAACTGATTGATAGAAAACAAGTGTCAATGACCACAAAGGAAATACAAAAAAAAAAAAAAAAAAAAAATGTTGAAACATGCAGTTATTGCAAAATAATAGTTTCAGAAAAAAGAGAAAAACAAAACATCCAAAGGATAATTATAAATGACTTACATGTGCTCTGCCCCATCACCGTACCTGCTACAAGATATTACAAACTTTTACCTGTTATGACACCAACCAGACAATGTTACTACTATAGAGAATTAACAACAAATATAAATAGGTGTACCTTGACACCCTGTCAGGGTTCCTGCATTAGCTATCTAGCCCTTTAAATAATCAATCAACGCTAGTCCCCCATTCAATGATCAGAGTCAGGACTTGTACTTTCTAGGTGTACCTTGAGACACTGATTTTTCTTCATGGTAAAAACTGTGTTATTAGTCAATTTCAATTACATGAAAGAAAATACTGTCATTTTTATGCTTTGTTAACTTCATTGCGTTCATCCTAGAAGGTACAAATACTAATAAGGAGTCGTGTATGTTAGAATTTATTAGACATGGGCTCTTGCTCAAATCTTCCGGACTCGTATCCAACACATATTAGGCGTGCCTATGAACATAAAATTTAAAATCCATAATTTCAGATATGTGATAGACACTCCCCAGCATGCAAAATAAAACCATAGACATTAAAAATGTATCTTCATTGCCATGATTGTGTTGAAAATAAACTTGATTTTAGTATTTAGTATTTTCAAGTATTTTTGTATCCATGATGCATGTGTTAATTTAGCATGTTAGTGGGTAGTAAATTGTCTTAGTGGGAGTTAAGGTTATGTAAAATAAAGAGTCATGAGAGTTAAGCCTAACAAATACTATGTTAGTGGGAGTTATGCATATTGAAGATTATGTTAGTGGGAGATAGGAGAGTTATGGACATTTAAATGTAATGGTTATACATACATATGTGAGGCCTATATATGCATTGTACTCATTTTCTATCAAGTGAAATAAGAAATATTTTCCTCCATTTCTATTCTCTTCCAAATAGTATAGTGTTGTGTGTGTAACTAGGCCACTATTTCCAACAAAGTGGTATCAGAGCAAGATTTCATGTTCAAAGCCAGATTTCATGTTCAGAGCCTAGACGATCCTGAAGGCCAGACGAAGTTGATCCTAGAAGGTTCAATATTTGAGAAAAACATGTTTCTCCTTGATGATGATGAAGGGGAGAAAATGTATTTTCTTAGTGAAAAGATGATGTTCTCTAATTATAAGAGAATGAGAATCATCATGACTTCATACCTCAAAGCATGCGATTTGTGGGATGTTGTTGGAGAAGAGCCAAAGAATGGCATGTCCAACAAGCTTCATGAAAAGAAAGAAGATAAGGCATTGGTAGTGTTGCAAAAGGCAATACATCAAGAAATTTGGGAGTATTTTGGAGAGTCCAAAACTCCAAGTTGTATTTGGAAGATGCTCGAGACCATCGTTTCCAATCATAGAGGTGAATCACTACCCATGGAGTATTGGGTACAATGCTTTGAGAATGATGAGTTTACGAAAGATGATTATGAAAGTCTTGAAGACAAAGTTGTGGAGAATGAAGAGGTGTATCATGCAAAAGAAGTTGAAGATTTTGGAGATTCAAAAGTTGAAGGAGAATTTGAAATGGTGAATAAGGAAGAGGTAAGAAAAGGTGTTAAAGAAGAGATTGAAAAAGTGAAGGAGGATGAAGTGAAAATAGAAGATTTAGAAGAAGGAAGTGCTAAAGAAGAGGCAAAAGTTCAAGTTGGTGAATTAACATCTTCAGGTATGGTTACAAATTCCACCTTGAAAGAAGTTATATTTGACTTATTTGATGAAATTATTATTTCTTCATATTCATCAAATAATGCTTATTTTGTGGAGAATGATAAACTTCTCTTAAAGAAAGTTGTTCCAAAGAAGTATGAGATTGAAGCCCAGGATGATAAGAAATTCTCATATTATTTTTTAAAAAATAGTTTGGAGAATTTTGTAATTGATACAGGTTGGGTGAATATGGAATTATTTTTTGACTCTAAAGAAGAAGTATATGTGAAGTTGAAGATCCATAAAAAATTTAAGAAGAAAAAAGATCGATGGTGTGCTTGTATAAAGATGATGATATATGATTATGTGAAGACATCAAACAAGCATTTGAAGAAGTTTCACAAGCCCTACACATCAATGGAAATGGCCAAGAAGATAGAAGCTATTGAAGGAGGTGGAATTGAAGATCAACTATCGAACTTTTGATCAAGCCCCCAAGATTAATAAGAAGGTTTTTCAAGTTACAAAATCAAGTTTAAAGGGGGGTGTTGAAAATAAACTTGATTTTAGTATTTAGTATTTTCAAGTATTTTTGTATCCATGATGCATGTGTTAATTTAGCATGTTAGTGGGTAGTAAATTGTCTTAGTGGGAGTTAAGGTTATGTAAAATAAAGAGTCATGAGAGTTAAGCCTAACAAATACTATGTTAGTGGGAGTTATGCATATTGAAGATTATGTTAGTGGGAGATAGGAGAGTTATGGACATTTAAATGTAATGGTTATACATACATATGTGAGGCCTATATATGCATTGTACTCATTTTCTATCAAGTGAAATAAGAAATATTTTCCTCCATTTCTATTCTCTTCCAAATAGTATAGTGTTGTGTGTGTAACTAGGCCACTATTTCCAACAGATTGTGTCCTAATTTTTTAAGATTTACCAGGTTGATGTGTCCAGGTCTTGTCTGCGTCGGTGACCATGCTTTTATTCCTGGAAAGTCAGTCAATGCAATGCGAACAGTGCCACATTGAGAATGTTAAAATAATTCAAGAAATAAACAGTACGTACATCCTCCAAAAGATCTGATCCATCATTACAGCCGATAGGCTGAGATTGCACCGGAGGTTCCTGAGCATAGGACACTTCAAGCATTACCAAGTTTTCATTTTGGCCTGTACAATTCATAGCTTTGGTTGTTGGATCCCCCTCATCCAATTCAGTTTTGAATTTAACAGATTCAGCACTGACAAGCGCATCATGGTTTTGACCATCATGACTAAAGGTTGGCAATCTTGCAAGAAACGAATCTACTTGTTCCATGGAACAGACAGAAAAATCTCCCTGGAAATGAGAAACATAAATTATCTTTTTTATCAGCAGTTGAATTAAAGGAAGTATTTTCCACTTGAAGTTAAAAAAAAAATAAAAAATTGACTTCGCACCTTCAGTGCACTACCTCCAGCACAAACATCATCTCCTAAAGAAGAAGTCACTGACGGGTATCAAAAATAGGCGCAGTCTCCTGTAAAGATCCCTTGTTAAACTCGGTTGGCCTACTTGAGCAAATGTGTTTCTCTTTTATTTCATCAGGACTACCAGCAGAACAATAAGAAGTGGTTGATGGTAAAATATATGCTTCATGTGACATCTAAGATATAACAAACCTTATACTAATATGTCATGAGATAATTAACAATATACTAAGAAATCATTAATTAAATATGCAACTCTGTATTTCATTAAATATGCAAAATAAATTAATGAACTAATATTTATAAATAAAGAACCTGGACCGAGACTAGTATTGGATACTATGTCCTTAAGACAGATTCGCCCCGCTGTGGTGTTAATGGACTCAGTGTCGTCTATCTCTTAGGATACAACGGTTTACATCCACCAGTAGCAGCACTACAAACTCGTGGATACGGTGAACCTTCTCCGTGTAATACTCTCTCTGACTCAAAAATGCATATATGCTATATAAATGCTGAATTGGGTGCAATTCGAATCAAATGGTTTGGACCAATCTTAATATGGCTCAATGAAATTGGATTAGGGTCTAAGTGGTTCGGACCACTTAACCTATGGTTTGAACCCACTTAGGTTGGGTTCAAGTCTAGAGAGAGAGATAGAAGAAAATGAAAATGAACAACTTGCAAATGATCCAAATAGAGGTATTTATAGAAACAGAAATACCTTTTCGGATTGGGTGTATCTCTTCATTATTGGACACAACCATTGCAATACATTGCAATGGTTCACATGGTGTCTGTTCACCACCATACACATCTATTCCAATAGGTTGCAATGGTTCACATGGTGTCTGTTCACCAATAGACACATCCATTCCAATAGTTTGCAATGTGCCTTTTCGAGTGGGTACAACCATGGGTTATGATGGTTCGAAAAAAGGTGTAACCCTTTGAAAAAACTAAAAAGTGGTTTTTT